TTCAAACAAGCACCAAAATAGAATAATATAATGAACCTTCTTATATCCATTGTCCCAATTCAATAATTATCAAAATTTTGCAAAACTTGTTTTATTTCTTGCCCCCCCCCCTTTGGTTACATTTATTTTAAAGACCTAAATATTTGAGTACCCTTGGTCTGTCTCATTGTCTGTGGGTTTTCTTCTCTTGGTTTTCAGACAGTCCTTCCCTTTTTGTATGCCTGATTATAATTTCACTGGCTACAGGACATTGTCTAGGAGAATTGGAAGGGATAATTGTAGGTTCAAGATGACATCTTCAAGGAGGATTTACCTTTGCTTCTGGCAGTCTGTAGGAACAGATCACCTTCATCCATTCAGGGTTTGAACAGATTGAGTCTTTGTGAGAGCTGGTGTCTTTCTGGCTTACTTAACTTCCGCTGTAGCCCTTTGCGGGGTCACAAATGAAAGCCAAGAATGTTTTCCAGGGCTCCTTTCCATTCTTGTTGCACTCTAAGCTCCAAGTTCTGTGTCCATGTCTGTGAGACTGCCCAAACCTCTGCTCAGCTATTGAGCCTGTCTGCCTCTTTCAATTCAGCAAAGGAAAAGTAGCAACAAAGGTAAGGATCACCTCCTTCAGCTTCTGTTGTTTCTGCAGTTTTGACTCTTTACAATCCCTCTGCCTTAGTGGGTCTGTGATACCTTTAAACAAATTTTTTGTATATTTTGCCTAACTTCTCTTTTTTTAGCAAAGAGTTTGGTCTGAAACAAGCTAATCCACCATTGCTGGAAGGAGAAATTCTACTAAAGAAATTTGAATCAAATCTCAGACATTACATTATTTTATCCATTCATACTTTAGCTTGTATCTCGGAAAAACGCAGGCATTCTCTTATCGGCCAACAATGCCATTTCATGTTCAGATTTCCTAGAATTCCCAGAAATGCCTTTTTATGATTGTTTTGTCTGAGTTCAGATGCACAAGGTCTATATGTTATATTTGGTTGGTGTGTCTTTTGAGTCTCTTTTAATCTAGAGTGTTCTCCTCTCCTGCCAGCTTTTTCTTTTCATGCTATCGACCTGTTGAAATTCTGTGTCAAAGTCCTGTAGAATTTCTCTTATCTCAGATTTAGCTGGTTGCTTTTGTTTGATCCTCTATCACTTATTTTTCCTACGTAATAGAATTTAACTGTATGGGCTTGATGAAATTCAGTTTTGTTTGTTTTTGGCAAAGATGCTTTATAAGTAGTGCAGAAGAATTCCTGTTGCATTATATCAGATAGCACAAGATATGTGATTTTTACACTGTAGGGATGCTAACATTGATCAGTGGGTTTTGATGGTAACAACATAATCCTCCATTATAAAATTTTCCATCATCTTTGATCTATTTGGTTACTCTGAAATACAGTTTATATAGGCGAGTTAAGCTCTTCTTTTAAATTCAGTAATGTCTTTTACATCAGTTCTAGAAAAAATCATCCCCAACAATAAATGTTTTTTCCTGCTTTCAGTGCCAGACCTGCTACCTGTAGTGAAGCAATGTAATTGGTAATTACATCATGTAGGGAAACAGCATGGCCAGCAGTATGGGTCCTGCCACCAGGGCTTCTCTATAGCCTTTTAGCTTTAAGAGCCATTCCACTTTGCTGACTCTCAGCCTCTTCACAAGGTAGGGCAGCAGAATCTTGGTGCTTGTGGGTCTGAGTTAAAGCTAGGATGTGTGCCGCAACTTTTCCATCCCGGGCCCAGGATTCTGGAACCTGTGATCGCTGGCACAGTGCCTACAGAAAGGGAATTTATAACACTCCAACAATAGAAGGCCTATAGAATGATTTTGTCCCTGTATACTTTGCTTGTATTTCTGGAGCAGCATTTCTGAGTCTTGCAGTCAGCTCCAGCTCTGCTGGACCCTAGCAAGCCTCCAGACCCTGTTCCACCAGCTGTATCTTTCTTTTCCTTCCTCCTTATACCATCCCATCCAGCTTCAAGTGTGTCTTCCTCTTGTATCTCTTCTTGAATTTTCTGTTTCCCATTCTGATGAAAATATTCACAGCCCCATAGAGGAGTGCCTAGCTGCTGACAAGGAGAAGTCTGAGCTTCCTGGCTTTGCATTTCTGTCTCTGTGCAGCCTGGCCTGAAGCTGCTGTCCTGTCCCGTCCCATCCCACCCTCTGTGTGGCCAGACCAGTGTGCTCCCTGGCCCTTCATATTCTGCCTCCTGAATGATCACCTGAGCTGCCTCTGTCTTCCCACACCCCACTTGCCTGTCCCAGGAGCCCACAGACCGTTCCAGCCTGGACCAGCTCTGAGAACCCTCCCCTGGTCCCCGAGGGCTCTGCTGCTTCTGGAGCCCCACATCTGTGCCGTGGCAGCTCTCCCACTCCTCTCTGCATCACGATTTCATCGGCCTCACTTCTGCAACTAGACTGTGTCCCAGCCAGGACAGGGACATCTCATTCCCTAGCTCACTGGGCACAGAACGTGGCATCTCGTAGGTGCCCCTTCCCTTCTTCCCACTCAGACCCCTGCACTGGTCCCTGCACTCCCAGGCTCCCCAACACCATTTCTGGGTCAGGCTCTTAGCTGGCCTTCCTTTTTGGCAGTGCCATGATTGAAGCCAGCCTGCAGGCCCTCCTCTGTCCTTAGTACTGTCCCACATGCCCTTGCTGGGGAACTTCTCCCAGCAGGAGTGAGCTTCATCAATGTTCCTCTGGGTGTGACTCCAGCAAGTAATCATGATTCTCATTCTGCATGGCAGCCAAGAGGCCTCTAGAAATAATCCTGCACACAGTGGGTGCTCGCTGGAGCTGTAACACTGCTCCTTAAATATTTCTGTGGAAGTACCCCTCATCCTCTTCCGACTAAACTTCACTTTGTTTTTTTAATATATTTAAGCAACCAGAGCAGGTACCTGTCAGGGCATAATTACGCACCACTTTCTCTCCCGGCACCAAACCAAAGATTTTCTTTCCTTCTGCTAACTGACATGACAGACAGCCATTTAGTGGAATGATTTTTAGTATAAAATTACTTTTTGGCCTTTAAATTTAATTATTCCACATTCATAGCAATAAAATAAAATCCTAAATCCAGGTGTGCTTTTGGATGAAAGTGTCCAGGTGATTACCTCCTGATAATGGTGTCCTGCACTTGAGCCTTTTGTCTGGGGATCTTAAAATCTTTTCCATGCAGGTAGATAATGATGTTCATTTTGTTGGAGGTGAGGGGTAAAGTGATTGATCTCCTGGCATGTTCAAGAGATGAAGAAAAATACAAGACCCAGGTGTCTCTTTGTTTCTCCCGTCCCCCCTCCCTCCACAGTTCTTTAAAAGAAGCCTGGCCAACCTTCTATTGATGGAAATACCTCCCTCTCAAGTACTGTTTTCCGCTTTCTGAAGAGCACGAATGGAAAGGGTTCCTATATCACATTTCATGTGGGAAGAGTTGAGGTTCAGGGAGAGGGAATGGTTTGTAGACATGTGTACACGTACAAGAGAATATATGTGTCTCCTGGTAAACCTACCTCCTCTCTATTACACAGTAGAGCTTAAATGTGGTTCCATGAGTTCAGAAGTGAGAAACAGTCCCAGCAGCACTTGGCACGTGGCAAGCCCCATGTGAGTCATGACTCTTAGGGCAGAGCCTGTGGTCTCTGGACCAGCAGCATTTGGAGCACGCCCCTGTTTGTGCTGGCAGTTTGAACACACTCCCCTTCTCCCCATTCAGCCAAGCTCACCTTTTGGAGCCATTGTACATCCTATTTCCTTCCTCCAGGAAGCCCTCCTGGTCCAACCAACTGCCAGTCACCTCTCTCTCTTCATAATTCTCGTAATGTTCTCCAGATGCAATTCAACCACTTGCACCGACCGGTACCACGTACCAAGATAGGCCTCATCTGGGCACTGAATCATGCCCTCTCCTATCATGTTTTGTAACTGTAGTTTGAATGCTGGTCTTGTGTCTGGTGGGTTGTGGGGCCTTGAGGGGAAAGCTCATATCTGTACAGCCCCGGGCCCCAGGAACAATCCTGCACATACAACAGGAATTTGGTCGACTCTAAGAATAGAGGACAAGGCGCAGGTGCCGGGGGGGGGGGCGGGGGGGGCAAAAGCAGCCAAACTGTCCACATTTTACCAAATCAGATATAATTCTTATTGAATCACACTGAAGCTATATCATCAGGTCTGGAGCATAGCCCTGAGGGGTTTTTTTGTTTTTTTTTAAAGATTTTTATTTATTTATTCATGAGAGAGAGAGAGAGAGGCAGAGACACAGGTAGAGGGAGAAGCAGACTCCATGCAGGGAGCCTGACGTGGGACTTGATCCTGGGACTCCAGGATCACACCCTGGGCCAAAGGCAGGCACCAAACCACTGAGCCACCCAGGGATTCCCAGCCCTGAGTTTTCATTCTTAGGTCTATTACAACACCCTTTTCTGTTCTGTTACATGTGGGAAAGACGCCAAGCTTGTATTCATTATGGCCAACACAGATGGGAGGCCAGAATTAAATTAGGGGGCCATCCCTAATCCAGTGAGATGATAAATACACAGGTCCTGTACAAAAGATGGGCCACAGTGAACTCCAAGGGCTTGGAGGTTAAAAGGAGGGCATAGTAGTATCTCTGTGGGCATCGCAAATACTTCACTCATTAACTCAGTATGTCTTGAGTGGCCGTCTCTGTTCCAAGGCTGTTCTAGGTGCTGGAGTTTCACAGGAAGGCTGTAGGTAAGATCAGCACCAGGTCTCTCCACCCCAAACCCAGACAGAAACACAGAGGTCCAACCTTGTCTCCCTTCTCTGGTGTTTAGTAGAGAGACATTCCAGTGCTGTCATTTCGTTCCTTGCCCAGAGGACACTGTGGGAGCCTGTTGCCCCTTCCCGACCACACAGCTGACTTCCTCTCGGTAGCTCTGGACACCTCCAGCCAGAGCCGGCCCCCACTTTCATGGTCTCCTGTTGGAATGCCAACTGCAAAGGTGAGAGCTGCTGACATTGTTTACTGTTTGGTTTCTTCCAGGATTTTCTTCCCCGGAAGCCATCCCGTCAGAGGGGTGCAGGTAATGAAGGTGGGCAAACTGCAGTTGCACCAAGGCATGTTCCCTCAGGCGATGAAGAATCTCAGACTGGTGAGTGTGCCAAGACCTTGTGTCCTTCTTTTTTTTTTTTTTTTAAGATTTTATTATTTTATTCATGAGAGACACACAGAGGAGGCAGAGACACAGGCAGAGGGAGAAGCGGGCTCCCTGCAGGGAGCCCAATGTGGGACTCGATCCTGGGACTCCAGGATCACGCCTTGAGCCAAAGGCAAACACTCAACTGCTGAGCCACCCAAGGCCCTCATGTCCTTCTGCAGGCAGAACCATTTCTGCCTGTTGCTAGGCTGCTTCCTTGTGATTTTTAGCAACTTTATGCACATGCATGTGTCTGCATGCACACATATGTGCACATGTTTGCACACATGCACATGCCCATAAATGTTTAATGACCAGCTCTCTGAAAAGACCTGATTTGTAATGTTTGCTTGTTTTCTGTGGTCTGAACACATGCACCATGGCTGATCTCAAACTACCCATGTAAAATTGACCAGTTCATAAAAATCAAGACAGTATAACCATCACTAGCCTTCAGGACATCACTACAGCTGTGCCTTACTCCAGGGGAGCAGGTCCTTGCCTTCCACACCCCCTCACCCATCCCCCACAGAATATAGTCCCTAATCCCCATCTCTCATCCCAGCCTCCTGACCACCTATCTGCCGTCCACCCTTGCACCCTGTACCCCCTTCTAGCCTTCCTTGTCTCTCCACACGGCCAGTGCACACTGAGCCACCCACGATTACCCAGGACCTTGAACTGGTCACACTTAGGTCCTCATCAAGACATTTCCTCTGCCTTAAATGCCAATCCCACCCACCCCACCCTGGGCCTGCCAGAACTCTACTGGTCCTTAAGGCCCAGCTGAAATGTGGTTTTCTCCCAGTACCCCCAATGTGCCCACCCTGCCAGCAGAGCATTCATCACATGGTACAGACACAGCTCAGAGGTACTGTGGGCTTCCTTCTAAAGCACTGCCATAAAGCCTGTATCGCAATAGAGAGAGTCCAGTGAATTTTTTGGTTTCCCAATGTATATAAAAATTATGTTTACATGATACTCTAGTCTATGAAGTGTGTAACAGCATTATGTCAAAAGAGAAAATATACATTTCTTAATTTAAAAATACTTTATTGCTAAGAAATGCTAACCGTCACCTGAGCTTTCAGCGTGTTGTAATCTTTTTGCTTCTGGAGGATGTTGTCTCTGTGTTGGTGACTGCAGACTGTTCAGGGTGGTGGGTGCTAAAGGTTGGAGTGGCCATGGCAACTTCTTAAAAAAAGACAACAATGACATTTGGCTCATTGATGGACATTCATTGCCTCATTCCTTTCATGAAGGATTTCTTTGTAGCGTGTGATGCTGTGTGATAGCATCGGATCCAAGGTAGAACTAACTTCTTCCATAATTGGAGTCCATCATCTCAACTCTGTTTCTGGAATATTCTAAATCTTTCACTGTCATTTCAAAAAAAATTTTTTTTAATTTTTATTTATTTATGATAGGCACACAGTGAGAGAGAGAGAGGCAGAGACACAGGCAGAGGGAGAAGCAGGCTCCATGCACCGGGAGCCTGACGTGGGATTCGATCCCGGGTCTCCAGGATCGCGCCCTGGGCCAAAGGCAGGCGCTAAACCGCTGCGCCACCCAGGGATCCCCTTCACTGTCATTTCAATGATCTCCACAGCATCCTCACTAGGAGTAGATTCCATGTCAAGAAACCACTTTCTTTACTCATCCATTCAGGTTTTATCATGAGATTGTGGCCAATCAGTCCCATCCTCTGGCTCCACTTCCAATCCTAGTTCTCCTGCTCTTCCCACCCCATCTGCAGTGACTTCCCTTCTTTAGGTCTTGAACCCTTTAAAGTCATCTGTGAGGGTTGGAATCAGCTACCTCCAAACTCCTGTTAATTTTGATATTTTGGCCTCTTCCCATGAATCACAAATATTCCCAATGGCATCAAGGGTAGATGGAATAGAAAGGTGAATCCTTTCCAGGAGGTTTTTGATTTCCGTTGCCCAGATCCATCAGAGGAATCACTATTTATGGCAGCTATAGTTTAATGAAATGTATTTCTTCAATAATAAGACTTGAAAGTGGAAATTACACTATGATCCATGAGCTTAGAATGGATGTTATGTTGTGGGGCATGAAAACAACACTAATCTCACTGTCCATCTCCATCAGAGCTCTTGGGTGCCCAGGCCTATTATCAATGAATAGTAATGTTTTGAAAGGAATCTTCTTCTTTTTTTTTTTTTCCTTACGTAGTAGGTCAGAACTTAAAGTCACCAGCTGCATTAATACCTAATGAGAGTCAGCCTGTGCTTTGAAGGTTTGAAACCAGGCATTGACTTCTCTAGCTGTGAAAGTTCTGGATGGCATCTTCCTCCAGTTTAAGGCTGTTTTGTCTGAATTGAAAAATCCGATGTTCAGTGTAACCATCTTCATGGCCTGAGGGAATGTTGCATCTACTCAATCTTCTATCCAGACCACTGGAACTTTCTCTGTATTAGCAGTAAGGCCATTTCACTTTCTTATCATGTGTGTGATCAATAGAAAAACATTTGTAATCTCCTTCAAAAACTTTCCCTTTCTATTCACAGCTTGGCTTACTGTTCAGTACAAGAGGCCTAGCTTTTTCAACCTCCACATTTCAACATGCCTTCCTCACTCAGCTTAACAATTTTTGGTTTTGATTTAAAATGAGAGACATGTGACACTTCCTTTCACTTGAACACACAGGGGCTATTGAAGGATTCCTAATTTTCAATACCATGTCTCAGGGAGCAGGGAGGCCCAAGGAGGAGTGGTGGTGACTGGCCAGTTGGTGGAGCAATCAGAACACACATAATGTTTGTTTATTATATATAATAATAGATGTATTATATTATATGTGTCTTATATGGGCATGGTACTTGATGCCCCAAAACAATTACTATGGTGAACTTCAAAGATCACAGATCACCACGACAAACACAATAATGATGAAAAAGTTGAAATATTGTGAGAATTACCGAAATGTGACACAGACATGAAGTGACCAAATGCTGTTGGAAAATGGTGCCCACAGTCTTGCTTGACACAGGGTTGCCACAAACCTTCAATTTTTTTTTAAAGCATGATATCTGGGACTCACAATAAAGCCATAAGACGGGGTGTCTTACAGTAGGAATACCTAATGCCCAGGAGACTGTGAGGTCTTTGTGGTTGTCTTTGTAACCAGCTCAGTGCCATACAAAAACTTGGAACTTAGGAGGTATTCCTTGTTGGAGGGAGGAGGAGGGGAGGTCAGTATGACTGTAGCAGTAAGTGCAAGTGCAGAGAAACTAAATAGGAGAACTGGGTCTGCCTTAGAATACAGTAAAGAGTGATGTTTACTCTCAGTGAGCCTCCCATGCCCCTGGGAGCCAGGGCTCCCTGCTGCTCTGGCCTTGCTACCCCAGCAGAGCCCCTTCTCACCCAACCGTAGCTTATAGACGGAGAACAGACATGCTTACCTGGTCCAGGTGTTGGCAGGTCTCAGGGAGCCCTGTTGTATGTGGTTTCCCACGGAGTACCGGATGTTGAACAGGATCCCCCTGGGCTATGGGCCCCTTGTCTGCAGAAGGGCTACAGTGGAGAGATCCTGGCCCTCCATCCAGGTTCTCAGGGGATACCCAGGGGCTGGCTGGCCCCATGACAGGCACAGCTACCCATTGTTAGAGGAGGAAAGTAACAAATGCCTAAGGGATTCTAAAAAATGAAATTGTCTAGTGCTGGTTTTGGGGTTTTTCTTAATGATAGCCATGTTCCCTTTCCTGATCTTTAATTGAAATAAGCCCATGGAGGGGCACCTGGGTGACTCAGTGGTTGAGCATCTGCCTTTGGCTCTGTTTGTGATCTCGGGGTCCTGGGATAGAGTCCCACATCAGGAGCCCCGCAGGGAGCCTGCTTCTTCTTCTGCCTATGTCTCTGCATCTCTCTCTGTGTGTGTCTCTCATGAACAAATAAATAAAATCAAGGAGGAGAGGAGAGGAAAGGAAAGGTAAGGAAGAAAAGAAAGAAAGAGGCCCATGGAAAACAGGAAGAACACTGAAATTCCCAAAGGCACATGGGTCTTCCTGTTCTTTTTACCTTGTCTGACAGCTGTACCCAGACTGATGGAGGAGCACCTCACAATCTCTTGCAATCTCAGATAAACCTTTCCTTTACTGGTCTAATAGCTGTCAGCTGGTTGGGTCAGTTAGGCAGAAATACTCACTGAGAAGGTCTACCATGTACAAGTTTTGACAGAAAAATAATGTGGGGCAAATTTCCCAAGTGTTTGATGTCCCCAACCCAGGTCACCTACAAGTTGTTTTATAAGTGATCAAACTAATCCTTTATATTTCTAGAGGACTAGAAAGCATTAATACTGCTCATATGTAAGGGCACCTGGGTGGCTCAGTTAGTTAAGCATCTGGCTCTTGGTTTCAGCTCGGGTCATGATCTCAGGGTGGTGAGCTTGAGACCTGCATCAGTTCCATGCTCAGCATAGAATCTGCTTAAGATTCTCTCTCTCTCCCTTTACCCCTCTCTCCCCCTTCCCTCACTCTCTAAAATAAATAAATAAATCTTTTTTAAAAATACTGTTCATATGTACATGATCTTTGTGGTCCTCATAACAAATGAGGTCAGTGGAGCAGATATTTTCATTCCCATTTGAAATGGAAGGAGCTAAGGCATGGAGACATTTGAGAGCCTGTCCAAAGTCATACTGAAGTCTGGTTTGTTCAGTTTAATTAAACGTGTGTGGATTAAATTCTTCTATTGATCTGAAGAAGGCCCAGTGTCGTCCTTCCAAGTTTAGTGCAGGAGGCAACATGTGACCAAGTCATTAAATACAGGCTGGAATCCTGGCCTCTCTGCTTTTCCTCTAAACTGGCCCAGTTAAGGAGATGAGACCCTCTAGTAAGACTCAGTGAGCAGAAATCCCTGTGAATCACCTGAGCTCCTGATGCCAGCTCAGGAGAAGGTGGGGGAGACATCAGGAGAGATTTGGATCATGT